CTCCCCCCCCCCCAAACCTTGCCACACAAAGCCAATACAGTAACCAACAGTAAAAAGTGTCACTTCAAATACTGGATCAAGTGTTGAAAGGAAAAAAATGCATCAAATTTCTACACTCCTCTCCAAAAATGAGGGCTAGAAACTTGCTACTTGAAAGTTGAGGTTATGACACAATCAAACTTTAGGAACAAGGTCTTCCTATCATGAGGCTCACAGTAAGCACCACTGAACAAATAAATCTGTCAGTAACCACCGAAAGTATTCCTAGGTAGGGATGGAATAGAGAAGAGGGGCGGGGGGGACGGGACCCTACACACACTTTGGCTTTCTATAGATCTCTGACTACTTAAGCCTATGGCTTCATGGCCTTCCTTGCAAAAATATTTACTAATCCTATTCCCTAAAGAGAAAAAGACATTTGTTTTCATGCAGGACAACAAAAAAACACCAAAACCCCCAGAATTTGTTACTAACAAATGTTAATTACAATAGGTTTTGAAAAGTAGGGCAACACCACAAAGCTTGTTATTCACTGGCTAGCTATACAGAGTAAACCAACAGTTTATTAAGAATACCCTAATGACTGAAAATACTCAAGAATGGATCAAATGGAAACTCACAAAGGACTCTAAGAAAACAAATTCAGCAAAGCTAAGGTCTCTGAGAGGCATCTGAAACTGAAGCCCTAAACATGCAACCCTGCAAAACTACTTGTCTGACACACCATTTCCAAATAAAATGCATGTCACTATCATATTGGCCCTTGAAATCTCTAAGTTAATTTACTGAATCACACAACTGAAACTAATTACTCAATTTTGAGAAAACTTTTTCAAACTCTGCATTTCTTCCTTGTGGGAAAGCAAAAAACTAACTTAAAATGATCAGGCTGCTAAATAAAATAGTTCAAGTAATTTTTTTTCTTCTTTGGCTGCTTTCGTGGTTTAACCCCAGCCAGCAACTAAGCACCACGCAGCCGCTCACTCACTCCCCCCCACCCAGTGGGATGGGGGAGAAAATCAGGAAAAGAAGTAAAACTCCTGGGTTGAGATAAGAACGGTTTAATAGAACAGAAAAGAAGAAACTAATAATGATAATGATAACACTAATAAAATGACAACAGTAGTAATGAAAGGATTGAAATGTACAAATGATGCGCAGGGCAATTGCTCACCACCCGCCGACTGACACCCAGCCAGTCCCCGAGC